AGCTCACTCCTTGTCGTCGGAGATGGGTGAGGCGGAAAATATCCACGAAGAAGAATTTCGGACTCTAGATGAGGATAGATGGAAGAGCACTTACGAAAGGGTGCTCAAATCTGGCCGAGCGAACAAAACTCAGAGCGGGTTTCAAACTCATCCCAACGCCTCTTCCAGGAATCCGGGACAAGGTCCCTCCGACTTCCTTCCCCTAGCCCGGAGCGCTTCCCCCGATCTGGGGCTCGCGGTAATTGATAATTTATTGATGATTTCCACAGTTTAAAGGCATCCTGTGATTTTTGTCTCTCTCGCTTCCGACGACCAGGCAAAGGCGTAATCGTCGCCAATGTCTCCTCCTCGGACTTCTTATCGGTAGACCCATTCCCAGACCATACTCGGAAATCTGACTCGTCCGGAGCGAATAAATGCGACTCGTTTCATCAAGTCAAAAGAGCACGGACTCTATTAATATTCTACTAGATCCTCGGGTTTCTCAGTGCGTTCGAAATTTGCTTGCTCGAGGGTTCCATATGATCGAGCCCGGGAAAAAGATCAACCGAGGCCGGACTCGTGCCGATGACTATAGTGGGATGCCGGAGCAGCGAGCGACGGGCGGACGGGCGAACGTTCCCAATTACATCGAGTCGCGAGTTCATTAAATGAAGACAGAGACTTATCCTTATTAAGAAGCGAAGGATATCCGGAAAAGTGAGAGAGATGCAGAGAGTAGTTGAGCTTCGCTCCTCATCCTCTTCCTTACCCCACCTCCTGACTCCATCAATTTCTTCTTGAACCTTTTATCTCAGCCAGCGGACTAATCCAACCGGGAATTTCACAAGCCGTCGTTCGAATAATGATCCTTGACTCGAGTTTCATTCCATCCGACGAAGTTATTCGTCGCTCCCCTCGTCCTGCGGATGGGCGGTGTGATGGATACGTGGATACTGGCACCATCGGATGTTTTTTAAATATTTCGTGCGAGTCGGTTCCCTTTTCGGACGATGCAACGGCTTCCCGGAAACCTGATACACCGGAAATCGGAGTTTTTTGGCTCGAAATCTGTGTCGACTTGCTCTAATTCTGTGCCGCGCCTGCAACTTGCTGTTTGAGAGAAAACTTCATTTGTGAGAAAAAAATCGCGCACAAGGACTTTTTCCCCTTACGAGGTTTCTCGTCATTGTTCTTCATTGTTTCCAGGAGGCGAGCTGTTCGGTGGATAGACACCGTCTGTCAGTCCTCTCCTTGCGCTTGGCACGGGAATCGGGAAGACGAGTAGAGCTTTCCGTGGGAAAAGATGTGAGGGATGTGGCAAATGTTCCTTTCAATAAATGGCCCAGCTCCTTATGGAGTGGCGATAAAGAGCTTCGCCCCGTGCGCTCCCCGCCGCTCACTCACTTACTCCACTGAAGCGACGGTGGCGGTGCTCCGGCAATCCTAGTGGACGGCCGAACAACCCCCAAAGCGTGTCTATTTGCGGACGTCGGCTGCCAAGAGACTTTCAGCGAGAACGATTCCGAACGTTGCGGAAAAATAAATTTCGCCAAATCACTCTCAAGCACTCAAACCGAAATTTCTCTCGGAACGATGCGGCGCAATCGTCCGCCGTAGGAAGCAGTTCTCTGACGCAACGCTTGAGGTTCTTTACGCGATTTGTTTCGATGTATCCGTTAAGACTCTTGATAGTCTGCTGCCTTCGAGCAATATTCAAATCCAATGCTACGATGACTGATGAGCAAAAATGATTTTTAGGAACGAGTATACAAACGGGGGCCTCGTAATCCGAGCGTTCAAGTGCCGCGCGTATCTTTGCTCCGATCAAGAGAGCGTGTTAGACGAGGCAGATAGCTGCTTCCCTGAATGACGGCGTATAGGGGCGTATTCAGAGCGAAGAAGTGCGATTCCTGGCTTAATAGAAAATGATCATTGATCCTTCATTCATCCGATGAGCGCAAGAACAGCGCACAGATGATCACGCCTCTGAACCGCATGTCGCTGGTTATAAGCCACAGCGGCGGACGGGGTACCGTTGCGGCACAATCCCGAATCACGATGCTCCGCGTCGCATGCCGTTTCCAGGAAGAAGTTTCCAAGACCTGTCAGGATGGTTCCCGACAGGGTGCTCATTCAGAAAATACTTCGGGGCCACTCTCCATAGCTACTAGCTCGGTAGAAATCATCTGGGAATTCCGCGATTCTCTGGGACGCTGCACATTCAGGCGGTTGTTCCTCGTGCTCCGCTAGAGCTCCGGATCCTGGCTCACAGTCTGGACATATTCATCTCCTCCGGCTCATGCTTATCTAGATACATGTAGGTGTAGAATATGTGTCGGCTGATAGGAAGCGGATCGTTCTTGAGCTTTTTTCGGAGGAAAAACACGTGTTCCATTCGACCAACACACAGTGTTTGGGGTGGATGCCAACCGCAGACGACTTTCTTCGCTATGAGTTCTAAGGCTCCCATCTCGTTTGACACGCCCTCCTCCAGCCGAAGACGGTGCGGTCGAGAGAACGATGGGGTTGGCAAGCAAGGCAACATGAGGTACAAGTGAACGATGGTAAGGGTGGCTCCCACCCGCCCGGTCGTCCGCCTCTGCGGCCGTTGCTTCTTATTGACATTACAGAGTTACGAATTACAATAGACCACAACAAGGGCGGTACGTTCGTCTTCGTGTGCGTTGTTATTGGCAAACGACGAGCAGGGGCCAAATGGATCGCCAACAAGACGACAACACAAGAGAATACGAGGGATCAGCTGGACGTCGAGAGGGATTTCGCGGTAGATCATTCGTAGATCGACTTTGAACGGTTCAGCGGATCGACCCAGAGCATCGGCATGGTCATCGCCTGGTCCGTATCTGTGATTCTGAGAGAGTAGGGAGGGAGGGAGAGAGAATAGTTTTACAAATCATTTGCTCCGGTTTCAAAAGGCGCGAAGCATGCGCCGAGTCTATCCGGAGGCTCCGTGCGCTCCACTTGAGCTCAATCATGTGATCTATTTCCAGCCGCGTGGATAATTCGACGCGCGCCGACAGTGCGCCGAGTCCGTTTCCCCTCGGATTCCGACTTATTGGGACACTAGAGTGAAGCCGTCGCGTTGACGAGCTCCTTTGCGCAATGCGGCGGACGTCGGCCCCGGAAGGGATGTAGGCTGTGGAGGAATCGAAAAATCGAGAAGCTCTTATCTCTCAGGTTATTACGTACCGACTTCGAACAATATCCATTTGGACCAACTTCTGTGTGGGCGTCGAGGATCGAAGACGTAACTCAATGAAGACGCACAAAGCCTGAGTGGAGCGAGTTCTTTGAGCGTAGTGTTGAAAAAGTTGACGCTGGCCAGGATTGGTCGAGGGGAACACGTTATCCAGTTCGACTGGAATCGAATTGGTGTCGGTGGCGCAGCGCACGAATGGCCACGTCTATGCAGTCTACGGTTCGGGTCGAGCGTAATTTAGCCCACCGGGGCTCTAGGGACGAACGAGGCGGCCGCTTGTGACGCTCTCCGAGAAGCCAGTCAAACCCAATTTTGTCTGAACGTGCACCGCCTTCCCTGCGACGACCGCTGCAAACACTCCTAAATGAATTAAGCCACAGCTTATTATCGAGTTATCATAAATACTATCAACCTGAGCCAATCTTGTCCTACGATACCGTCGTCGTGTTCGGATTGCGCACTGCGTTCCCGAAGCGTTGTTGCATCACCGCAGTGACGCATGTCCGAGGTCGATCTCGGACACGTCTTGCGACTGAAGATGAAGCCGAGGATTTGTTTCGGATCAGGTGCGGCGGTGACTCTGCAATTTCTCCCGGTCCCCATTTAGACGTCGGGTCCGTCTTCCTTCTCACCGAGCCGAGAATTCCGTCACGGAGCTGTTCTTCGGGAGTCTGTATACGCGAAGGATGAAGCTCACGACGTAGCATGGATTAGGCGAGTCGGGACGCGGGAAACGTCCGCAAAAATGTCGCACGACAGGACAATGACGACGACAGGCAGTTTGAAAAGCAGAATAGTGACGAGGTGAGTCACTCGCCTCAGGCAACACCCTTTGTGTGTCAGCAGGATTCATCGGGTGGTGGAGGTGGTGGTCGTGGCGGCAATGGCAGTGCGGGTGATTTGGCTGACTGAGACGATTAGCGCCTGCTGAAGCAAACGGGTGGGCATGCGGACGGACGCACGGACCGACCGACCGGTAGCCTTTCTGCAGTCAAGAAGGAGCGGAGGAACGCAACGAGCAAAGGAAAGCGGCTGAGGATGATAAGGCGGCGAGGATCGAGCCCGGGAAGAGAGCAGTATTTTCGAAGCCTTGTCTGTCGGCGGGACCGACCGACCGACCGCCCGCCCACCGGGCCCACAAGCCGAACGGGAGCGTACAGCTCGCGGAGCAGGAAAACGCTCCAGGCACCCAGATCATCCAGATACCGTTCGCCAATGAAAGTCCACGACGGGTCGTTATCTCTTGCAGAATGAAAATTGCATTTCCATTCAGCATGGGCAACGGGTCGGTTTAACTTGAGAGAAATAAGCGACGGGGTGATGGTTGGTGCAAGCGAGCCAGCAAGCGAAGGTGGGGAAGGAGACTTTCCAGCTGCTCAGTCGGCGTTGCACTTTGACTATGGGCGAGGAAACAAAAAGTAAAAATCGATTCGGTCCGTTTCGCTCGACCTGGCTCTCCTGCCGATAACGTAACGCAATTATAAGTTTATCGTTTCCCGATGGCATTGACAACGAAGAACATCTGGAGCAAGCGATGAACAGCCGTTCGGCTTAGATACCGAATCGAGCTCGCAGATGAATGGAGTCGGTTGCAGCATCGTCGTTTGGCCCCAGCGAACTCAGGACCGGTCCAGAAGATCTCGCTCCTATCCGGACCGATCACAATGACAGGGCTATACGATTCACCGGAAATAGATCATAGGAGAATGATTGAAGTCGTTCGGTGGGGCGGCTCGTATGTGGGTCGGAGGTCTTGTGGAAAAGTTGTTTATTCTAAGATTGAATAATTTTTTCGCGCTCAATCTCCTTGCGAAATCGGATACTTAATGTGGCGAGACACCGGCCGGAGGATCCGGAACGAGCACGTCAGGTCCGGAGCGACTGTCATCATCGCTGCGGCATTATCGAACTCATTACAATAGTTGGGCGCAGAAAATATTGTCACGCAGGATCTGTCAGCGAAGAACTCGTAACCCTCAGCGACAACCTGATGAGAAGACGGACGGAGGTGAGATGTCGTGAAATGTTCCGTAGAGCCTATTCGCCGAGCGGACATCGGGAATAGTAAGTTCCAGACAGTCTATGCGAGAAATGCAGACGGAGAAGAGGGAGGAACAGGACATTGAAGCGGAAGTTTCGGAACTATTCCCAATTCGCAGCAAAGAGTCATGATTCTCCTGATTCCTGTCTCGGATACCTGATGGGCTCGAGCCACGAGGTCGAGACCTAGCTGAGCGAGAAACTTCTGCAGAGCATCGGCCCCGAATAAATACGAAACTCCTCGGTCACTCTGGACCCAGCCGCGGCCTGGAAACGGATCCGCCCACAAGAGATCGCACGCGATGCCCGAATCGGGTACGTCGTGCATGGGTCGTGGCAGTGCTCGAACGCAATCGAAAGTTTTTATGTCTGGGGAAGGTCCCCCGTGGCAGCAGAAGATCTTGTCCGCCACTAAGGCTGCGGAAGGAGAATGGAATTAGTGGATGGGAATCAGGAGCATGTTTTCAATCAAATTCCTTTTCAGTGATGAACGAAGTTGAAGATATAAGTCAACCAATCCGAATACCGGCGAGGGGCAGCCACGCGAACAGGTCGTTGAACTTCTGGTAGAGTTCTAGGTTGTATCGGTGTCGGCATTCGGTCAAGAAACCGTACATCGAGTTTATACGGATGCATTCGTGGTTTCCTCGGAGCATAAAAACATTGCCGGGGTACTTAATCTTGTATATCAATAACAAACAGAGCACTTCGATCGAGTTGCGTCCGCGGTCGACGTAATCTCCCAGGAACAGATAGTTCGCGGCTGGGGGATGTTTTCCTTGAAGAGAAGAACTCCCAGAGAATTAGCAACGCTACGCTGAAATTATCGACTTCTTTCCCCGGGCTTGCGATCTGCCGACAATCGATTACCACTATACGATCGCGTTAGATGTCCACACCTTGATTGAGTATCCGCAGAAGATCGTGGAATTGACCATGGGTGTCGCCACAAATGTGCAAGGGAGGATTCAACTCTATCAACATGGGCTGAGCGGCGAAGATCTCTTGCGACTTCTCGATGATGTAGTGGATTTCATCGAGTTTCAGATCTACGTACAGAGACTTTGTTTTCCTCACTTTTAATAAACGCCGGAGAATCTCTTGTAGATCCACATCAGGCATGGCTGACGCCCCGGCTCCAACTCAAGGATTGGTGCTGTAAGGAATCAGGATTTTCTTGCGATGCTTCGTTTTTTTTTCAGCAGAGAGACTTGGTGCTTCCCTCGTCTCATCGGGGGGATGGAAGTTTCTTCTCGCTAGCCAGAATCCTTGTGTGATTCAGGGAAATCTTCCTTAGAGAACCTCCCGGTTTCCGGCCGACGGCCTCTTCGGGGAGGTCCTGAAACGCTCGGAGATTCCGTCGAAGCGCCCTGAAGAACGCCGAATGATTTTTAGTGCGTCTCGCCGCCGTTCTGCGACGACTCTTTGTCGCTATCCGTATGTTCTGTTGATCTACCGACTACGAGCGAGCTCCGTACTGTCTGTGTTTTCGCTAATGAATCTTTCGTCGATGTCAGCAAGTGAGATTGATTATTATCAAGATCGGAATACCACCTCAACCCGGCAGTATACCTGCTGCTCTCACGACGGCCTCCTCACCCAGATCTCTCACGAATATGATCATGATCATCATCAGAACTCGGTTGATTATACATAGTACCGGGGGAGACATCGGAAGCAAGCCGTCCTGGTGCAGAGTTGGTCACGACTGCGCTCGACCCCTGTTTTTCGGGAGGAGCTTGCAGATTCACGGCTTTTCACGCGGACCATGTTGGATCACTAGGTTTGAGTGGGTGGAATCAGGAACTGTTCCTCAATCCATCCATCCAAGAAGTTTGATAGATTTGAACTCTCATGCACTCGTCACATCGACTCTGAAGCACGGTACGGCGAAAGGAGAGACTTTGCCCCTGTGCATCCGATTTTGAAGTCGAATCATTCTCTCACTCGGAGATTTTTCCGCTGACTTGGGAGAAGTAGGCGATGTATCCGACCGAATTCGACAGCTTGTTCGCGGCGCCCTCAGAAAGTTCTGGGACGCCGTATGATCCGACGTCGGTGGAGAAAAAGGCGAGCGGAGCGCGCAACCATCAAACACTCATTAGAAGTTAGGGCCAAGTTCAGGCTTGTAAAACGCGTTTCGAGAGAACGTCGACGGGAAAATAATCCCGAAAATATAAATTTTCGAAATCCGTCGTGAGGAGTGCCTCCAATCCGGCAATCGCTATTCGATGGTGGCAAATACACTCGGCAGCAGGCAGAGCGAAAATAGAGTCGCCTATCTGTCAGGGCGCTGTATGGCGCGGGAATCTGCAACGCGACTTGAATAGGTTCTACGAAACGGAAATACGTTCTATAAACGGACTTTGCAACTGCACTGACGTTGCTTGAAGAGCGCTACGTGAGCCTCAGTCAGTCGGTTGGTCGGTCGGTCGGGCGGACGGACGGACAGGTCGCCAGTTCCTTGCGGACAGCTTACGGACCACGTATAAGGACAACTCCGTTGATCGTAGAACCTAGCAGCGTCCGCTCGGGGAGCCGAACGGCTGGGGAACATACCGACGCACACGCTGAATGAGGCACCTATTCAGGAAGTTTGGAAAGTTCGCCGGCGAAGACGTGCTACGACCGAGGGTCAGTGGACAAACGCCTGGCGCAAGTTGATATACATACATACATGCGCGCTTGTATTCTCCCGCACAACATTGAATATTTTGCGCATGGAGCCCTCGTAGAATAAGCGGCCTCCCCTCCTTATAACTCTCCATCCCCGTTCCTGGGGTTCTTTCTCCTTACAGGCCCACGGGCGTCCCTCCAGACAAAGGAATTGACGGAAGGCGGAACAAGTTTAGGTAAATTTTCCATATCGAGGTGAATTGGCGCGCGGGAGATATGTGCCCAGGCGATCCACACTTGGACAGAATACGAAGGATTTTCTTCCCTTAACGATTCGACCTTGCCAAGAGGTTCGACAAAATTCGAACTCGGTGTCCGGGCTACTGATGGAATCTTTTGGGTGCATAATTGACAGAGCTCCTCTCGGCCCGTCTCGCCCCATCCCCACTGTTGACCCTCGCGCCCTTCCGCAGCGACGACCGCACCACGACGTCGACGACCACCAAGAGTACCGCCAGCGAGGAGGCCATCATCCACGTCTGCTGGTGAAGGAATGAAGCTGTCTTCCTCGCCGAGTCCGAGCCGTACCACTCTCGTCCAGGCACATCACTCCCTCTCATTCTGTGAAATTGGAAAGTTGCTGGACTCTCTGCACTTCTCTCCGACGTTCAGAGGGGTCTCCCGGGCTCGGAATGAAGGTCCTTTATTTTTTCCCACCGCGCACCGCTCTTCACTAGCCCCGGATCGGGCATCAGATACATCGATGTTCGAATTAATGCTTCACCCGGATGCGTTCAGCTCGGGCCGACCTTGAGCGCTCGGACGCCTAAAAGCATCGCATTATAAGAGAGTGGATGTTCCTACATTTACACGTCTACGTATATCCACGCCGAGTCCCGGAATTCGAGAGGACTCCGAGGAAGGTTCGTCGCCTTCGGGCATTCCGCTACGCTCCATGCGAACTTCCATCCCAGACGTAGTAGCAGGTCATATATCTTCCGCATGCCGCCGTCCGGTGACCTTCTGGTCCTTCTCGTCTCGGTGGGGCTTCTCACAGGGAAGAGGTTGGAGTTGGAGGTCTAGTATTCCATGGAGCGAGGAATTTACGGAACCGGGAGGCTCACGAGATTCGTCAAGATCTCCTCGATTTTCTCTCATTGCGTTCTGGATCCGATACTAGGGGCGCGCGGGATTCCAGAGGATTCGGTCGCCGATTGGAAATGCGAATTTCCCTGATGTCCCGTATTGCCATCAACTGGCCATTGCGTCGAGTCTTCACTTGTGATTGCTATCCAGGCGAACGCAGCAGCATCAACATACGTTTTGCTTAATTTCCATGTCGTGCAGATGGCGTCAAGGTGACCCTTTCAGTCCAGGGTGACGTCGACTGGGGCGCGGATGAGGCAAATCCCGCGAATAATAGACTCATCGGGCTGTGACAACGATAAAAAACTTCGCATTCGCAGCAGAGGCAATGTGGGCGATTCCTGCCAATCTGAGCCTGAGGTCGGTCAGCCACCGACGGGCCGAGGGAACTAGCGACCGCGGAAGTCCGAAGGTGAATTTTGAAGCAATACGCTCTGAGATGCGGCAAGCGGTACCAGATTTCGCCTGATTCAAAAGGCTTCGCTGCGTCTGAGACGAGATCGAGGGCGAGGATGCGATCGATAACGCCCCAGAGGGGATGCACGGTGAAGATATTTGAATTTCACAAATGACTTTTTCAAATCAGTCGTCCGCCTATGAGAGCACGGGAGAGCGAGGGGCTAGCTCACTCAATTCTTGAGGATCATTCGCGCAATAGTTCATCTACGTGAATCGTTTGAAGCTCCTCGGAGAGGGAACTCTCAGGTGAGCGGCATCCAATCCGTTATGCCCTGGTTCGCTTTCCACGCACTCGTCTATATATCTTTGAGTCGCTCCCTGTAATCGGGGACGGAGATTTTAGTGGAGCAGAATGTAATGGTGGGAGCGTCATCCTTTGTCGTTGTTGAAAGCTTCCTTCGCTCGCTCGACCGCCCGCCCGCAACCCCACCTGACACAAAGGGGGTTATCTTGTTCTGTGTAGCTTTGAAATCGGTGGGGGGGCGCGAGCCAGGGGCGGACGGGCGGGTCGGTGGTCGGCGTTGCACGGCTGCCCGAACGAGCCGGCGGGCGGGCCAGCGCGCGCGGTCGGTCGTACAGGATCGCGCGAATCGTCGCCTCAGGCTTCGTTCTGGGGAAGAACTCAAGGGTTGAAGCACGCGGGAGGGAAATGGAGACGAAGCAAGCCACCGCGAGAGCAACGACAACGGGCGTCGACGAGCGAGAGGAAACATAGGATTCACCCGTCCCACACGGGAGGGAGCAAATTGACGAAATGGCCGGGGAATGTTATCTCCCTGACGGCGTCGGAGGTGGTGCCGACGCGGAACTTAAGCGAAGAAATAGGAAAAGAGGAGGAACGAATGTCGCAACACAACTCAGATATTTCTTTCACCCTTTTTGGATGCTCTGTGCTTTTCGATTCTCCCTCGCTACCCCAACGGCGACGTCCGTGCCCGAAAAAAAGTCTTCAATGACTGGAGTAACATTTCCACACCGCTCCTCTTGTTCACACGCCTTCCTTCCGAAGACACTTGCTTGAGGCGCGCAGAGACAAAAGAACAAGCACATTCTCCGATCCTCGTCAGACTCCCAAGACATGCGCAACTCGTTCCGGAGGAACGGGTCGGACCATGCATCGAAAACGAGACATGCCTCTATCCTCGAGAGGAGAAATTTCCCCTATCCCCTTCGCGTGCTGCCGGAGCTTCTCGAGATCGTCAAAACCTCGAGTCCCGCGGAACGAGAATCACTGCGGAGGACTTGCCCTATTGGACGCATATCATGCGAATGCTATCCAATGGATCCACACCAAAACTGAATATTTTAATCGACGGTCGAGACCGGAGCTTTCCTGACGGCAACTCCGCGGCCAGCTTCAACGGGAACCTTCACGCTCAGCCTCCCCCGGAGGCACCTACGGCACTTCCGACGGTCGTGCGAGGTCTCCGAGGAGCATATGAGCACGCGGTACGGTCAAAGGTATGATGCTTTGAGGGCCTAGCGGTCTCAAACGAAACCTCAATTCAAGTGCAATCATTCCCGGACGCGGAACGCGCTCCATCTAGGTATGATTATACTCGGAATTTGATCCTGAGCATCGCGCGTGCTCCCTTCGGAGAGAACCTCAGAGAGCTTTGACACCGAACAGTCGATGCTGTATTCCGAGTCCCCAAGTGAACTATCGCCGTGCGATGACTCTTTCCAAGTGGCGCGGCGGCCTGCGACCAACGTCATGGGGTAGAGGGAGGGGGATGAACGCGGTGGGCAGAAAATCCAGGGAAAACGCACAAGACACGAACCTCGACTAAGTTTCGCAGCAATCTATAAACTTGATGTGAGCCATGCCTAGCCAGTCAGGCGGCTGGATGAGCAGGCGGACGGGCGGACGGATGAACGGACTCGAACGCAGGGCCTGTTCA